CTCGGCATGCTTAGCGTGGAGAAAAGGAGACTGAGGGAAGACAGGATAGCTCTGCTCAAATACTCGAAAGGTTGCAATCCAGAGGATGACTGTTCCCAGTCATCTCAGAGTACAGGACATGTAATAATGGGCTCAAGCTACAGGAATCCAGATTTAGGCTGAATATCAGGAAAAACATCTTAACTGCTAGAGCAGTATGACAATGGAACCAATGGCCTTGGGAGATGATGAGTGCTCTAACGTTGGAGGCGTTCAAAAGAAAATTGGACAGCAATCTCTTTTGATCTGCTTTGAGCGGATGGATTCACCGTCCTGACGTTCCTTCTGTGGGTTGGAGGCAAAAGCAGGTGCAGAGTGGACTCAACGCATGAACCGGAAACAACCCACATGTGTAACAATGAGTGTCTAGTCAAATCATCACACCTATGATTGTTAACAAACCACTGAACACTCACTCACTCACCATTTCTGTGAGCCCAATGTATAGACCATAAGAGGAGGGCACTTGTATCATTTCTGTGTATCATTAATTGCTCGGGCCTTCCTTTTTTAAAAAGCAAACTCCCTTAAAGGGAGACAAATTCTTGCACTTCTCTGTATTGGGGTATTGTGGGAGCTTTCCTGCACTTGTAATGCAGAGAAAGTGGGGTTTTCGGAGGCAACGGGCTGTCCGGTTTTGTGTGAGACATTACCTGTTCCTTCTCATCCTTAGTACAAATGTCTCTTTCTCTTAAGGATGATAGGAGACTAAACCCTAGGAGGAAAGACTAAAAGAACTCGGCATGCTTAGCCTGGAGAAAAGGAGACTGAGGGAAGATAGGATAGCTCTGCTCAAATACTTGAAAGATTGCGATCCAGAGGAGGGTCAGAATCTGTTCTCAGTCATCTCAGAGTGCGGGACACGTAATAATGGGCTCAAGCTACAGGAATCCAGATTTAGGCTGAATATCAGGAAAAACATCTTAACTGCTAGAGCAGTATGACAATGGAACCAATGGCCTTGGGAGATGATGAGTGCTCTAACGTTGGAGGCGTTCAAAAGAAAATTGGACAGCAATCTCTTTTGATCTGCTTTGATTTGAATTGGAGCAGAGGGTTGGACTCGATGGTCTTATAGGCCTCTTTCAGCTCCATGATTCTATGAGTCTTTTTCTCTCTCTCTTTTCTCTTACTCTGTATTACACATATCTATTCCACACACTCTCTCCCCCCACACACAATTCCTGCAGAAGCAATTTTTCCAAACAAATATCCAGTTACCATGGGTACCACATGGACCTCGTAGCCATCCACAGAAACCTCTGGACGGTTCCACTCCAGACGGAAAGATGTTTCATCTCGATTTGACACGCGGATGCCAATGGAGGGAATCTCTGTTTATGCCGGGAGAAAAATTGGAGAGGGGAGAGGAGGTTAAAAACATTGTATTTCTGTCTGCTTCTTCTCATATAAATTCTCTTTACAAGCCTCACTAAAATGGTTCTCTCTTGAACAGTGTCACACTTGGCTGCCGGAAGCAAAGTCATCAATGTGTCTGTCTCTTTGAAGTCAAAGTACATAAAGCAAAGCGTGCTGCTTATATATCGCCCCCATAGCGCTTCAAGCACTCTCTGGGCGGTTTACAAGTTAATTACGCAGGTTACACATTGCCCCCCCCAGCGAGCTGGGTACTCATTTTATTACCGACCTCGGAAGGATAGAAGGCTGAGTCAACCTCAAGCCGGCTACCTGGGATTGAACCCCAGGTCGTGAGCACAGTTTTGGCTGCAGTACAGCAGTTTAACCACTGCGCCACGAGGCTCAGTTATACATAGTACAGTGGTGCCTCGCTTAATGAGGATAATCCGTTCCAGCGAAATCGCTGTAGAGCGAAATCCTCGTTAAGCGAAATAAAAAAATCCCATTAAATGCATTCTCATGATATTCAGTCCATCTTCTAGCCCAGTAATATCAGACCTGGGCAAAGTGCAGCCCGAGGGCCACATACAATTTTGAACATCAAAACCATTTATAGCTTTTTGTCTAAAGTTGATCATTTGCTTATCTTTAACATACCAGAAAAACCTCTTTAGTATTTGTGAAGATTAACAAGTTTAAAATAAAAACAATCGTAACATCACTGTTTCGTTTTATTTTTAAATAAAGTTGGTTCGGCTCCCGAACACAGTTCAGATTTTTCCTGTGGCCCCCCGTATAGAAATTAATTGCCCACCCCTGCAGTATATGAATCTCAGGAGCACTTTATTGAAAGAAAAGGTCTGCTAAACCCCTGCTCCAATTTCAAGCTGGGGAAAAATAGACAAATCTCTAAGAACAGCTAGATTTGTTTACAGAGAACTGGAGATTTGTGTGACTCTAAACAGGTCTTGCACTCACAGTCTCTCATAAGATAACCACCATTTCTTTATTAAAAGGAGGTCTTTGACAAGGCTTAGGGTTGCCAGATGTCAGGGTTTCAACCCTCCTTCGGATCATCTGTAATGGGGCAGACTGGGAGTGCCCAACAGAATTAGCTGCCTGAGGCAGAGCAACAGATACCTCCTTCTAGGCCACATGTGTCAAACTCAAGGCCCACGGGCCGAATCCGGCCCATTTCATGTGGCCCTCGCAGTGTTGCCTGCTACTGTGCAGTATACAATACACAGGCATTTACTTGGTCACCCATAATGCTCCGCAAGGATGCTGGGAATCCGCCCAGCGGGACTTCTAATCCCAGCATTTCAAGCAGCGAAGAGTCAGAAAGTGTAGGTGCTTGGGCGGCGTGCAGCACGTTGGGAAATGTAGTCCTGGCTATTGCTCACTCCTGTTCTTACATTTATATAGTGGTGCCTTGCTTGATGATGATTATCGGTTCCGTTGAAATTTCTGTTAAGCGAAATCGTCGTCAAGCAAATTTTAAAAACTCATTGAAATGCATTGAAAACCATTCAATGCGTTTCAATGGGTGAGTTTTGTGAAGATCCTCCAAAGGGCAGCCATTTTCCAGTGCCTGTAAAGCGAGGAATCCATGCTAAAAACAGCGGGGAGCCATTTTCCACAGCGGGCGGCTATTTTGAGAGCCGCTGATCAGCTGTTTTAGAATCGTTGTCTAGCAAAAAATGGGTTCCTGAAGCAGGGAACCGATCATCGTCAAGCAAATTTTCCCCATAGGAACATTGTTTTGCAATCGC